CATTCGAGCTCCAAAACGCCAAAGTATAAAAATAGATTTTCGTATGTGTCTCGATAATTTCAGAATAAATTGTTACAGAGTAATTCTGAATAATTCAGGTACATTTGCGATAACATTCAGTCGGTTTCGAAAAAGAAATGCATGTACTTCCTAGTGTTAACCCATCCTTGTCTGTGAGTAAGTTTCTCCGATGAACGTGCACGAACGGAAGATAGACACGTTAGTACACATAGCTGTGAAATGCATCAAACTTTGCGATGCATCAAATACAGGGCGCCCACGCAGTCTATACTCACACAGTTTTCAGTCTTCTGGTTATCTGTTGACTCGTGTAGCTTCTATCTCACGCGGTTGTCTTTCTTGTTACCGAGGTTCCGTCGATGCGTTGCTTTTTGTTTGTTCAGCTCATGTTTCAAATTCGCTGTAAGTCCATTTTCCGGTCACATCCCTGGAGGACCTTTATCTCAGTCGATTTCCACCTTCCTCAGGAACCCTAGTCAAACAAATCCACGGTTCCCCAGAGTAAATACACAAAGATCCTTCATTACCGAATCCGTGAAATTTGTTAATACCTTCCTACGGGGACTGGGTTATTTACTCCATTTAACCAATCCCCTTCTGTGAATTTCTTCAGCCACATAGCTTGGGGGTGTAAGTTGTGGGCTTCGAGGTCTGTTACATCATCTCTACGCCCCAATGGGTCACTGCTAAACGGGTAAATATACATCAGCGAAATACACTCGTTTGCAATAAATTTAGTATTGAGAGAGGCCCACCTGAAACCCAGCTAAATCCCTCGTTCGTGATATACACTCTTTCGTCGTGTGGCCAATGCATTTATCTGAATTGTCAAGCGTGAAAACCTCATTTATTAGTCTCAAAGCATCATGATATACCGCCGAAGTGAATTTCAATTCCCCAATCAAACATTCTCCTTCTCGATTATTGCCTTTTCAAGATATTATTCCCAAGTTTTATTTCCTGAGCATCACCACCATCATTGACGGCAACACATGATGAGAAACTTGGGGCTCCGCTGCCGTGGGACCAGTTTGCTTCATCAAAGCCTTATAATGGTAAGACCAAAAAATAAAACAGGCAGAGGGACCTAGAGCTAACCTACGACAGACATCCGAAGTGTGTACACCAACATTCTGTTAGACCAGCTAGGTAGAAACTGACGGTTGATATGCTGCTGGTGTAACGGTGGATACTACTGATGGGCATGCGAATAGTATGTTTTCTCGTAACTCCGCTTCGCGTCTCTTGAAAAGCTAGATCTGTTACAGAATTTGTGGAGTCGCTTTGTAGCCTTTGCTTCCATTTGAGTGACAGTCAATGAATATTCAGGAAAGTTTAGGAAGACGCCTTCAAGTAGAAGATGGATGTTCGGTTTTTGTAAACAAGATGCATATATGAGTTTTGCTTCCCTCTCCAACAGCCTGCAACTGTTTAGTTGGTGTTTCCTAATATACAACTACGCAGCGGAGGCCTTCTTTCTTTCACTGGTATTGGTTAGCCATCACATCCTCCAGCGTCTCCAGTCAAGCACAAATAGGGTCACGCGGACATCATGCCGGAAGCCGAACAGAAACAACAGCACCAAAGCTTTCTGTAACATCATTTATCCCCATCCGCTATCTCAAATTCGGTCCACCTCCAGGTTTCCTGCACTCTACATCAGGCATGAAAAATAGCCTTCATTTTGGCAGGCGGTAATTAGGCTTGCGTAACACCTGGCCTAAGCAACACATCTAGCAATGTTGGACGCATTCTTTAAGTGAACTATACTCTGCTCCGACGACAACCCTTCTCCTAATCACCTCACTGAGAATTCGCCTGTCTCAACGATTCCAGCTATAGTCCTGAGACATCGTAGTCAAAAACCTGAGATGTTTCAGATCCTAGGCCTGGAAACGTCAACTATCGCAGTCGTACAAAAATGCCGCCAATTCAGAGTCAGTGACCTTATTAGCCAAACGAGGTGCTCTCATTTCGAACGCTCTTAAATGGTTCATTTGCGAGCGACAATAAACAACCATGTGGTCCGAATCCATGTAGCTGTTCCAGTAACTGGCCCACACCACCTATAGCCCAAAGTGATGTGATCACTTTGTGTTGTAGGTTGACTTGCATGTGTGGGGATACCATGCGAGCAAAAGGCTTCGTTCGTTTCGGAAGTTAGTGCTGCACAGAATCAGATACTGGTCAACACTTAGTAGCGGTAGACGTTCGCCGTTGTCTGTACGTCTTCTATCCAGTCCTAGACGACCACCAAATTGAGTCTCAGAAGAGTTTAGTCCACTCACTAATGTCATCATCATATCGTCATCACGGTAGACGTTCGCCGTTGTCTGTACGTCTTCTATCCAGTCCTAGACGACCACCAAATTGAGTCTCAGAAGAGTTTAGTCCACTCACTAATGTCATCATCATCATCATCGTCATCATCAGGAGCAGCAGCAACAACAATAATACCAGCTTAGCACACAACAATACACTCAAAGCGTTGTGAAAACTGTCTTTGAATGTGTCAGAGCTACAGGCTGTTTGGGCGTAAGCAGATACAATGAACAGGCAGCGATTATCGTTGAGTTTACGGGATAAGTTGATAGACGTTGGTAAACGAACACATAGAGGCGACTATCAACAGGCAATCGTTCAAGCAGAGACCTTCTGCTTCACTGGCTTAGGACATTGAACAACCCTGCAAAGCCGGTAGTAGCGGCACCCGGATCACCAGAGTTGGGCCACCGAAGTCTGGAGGAAACCTGCCAGTTCAATGAGCATAATTTGGTCAAACAAACCGCACATCAATAGAAAGTGAGTCCAACGTTTTGCTGTCCAGTTGGTTTCAGAGTGCGAAAGTCCAGAGGCTGAACTGACCGTCTGAGTTTGAAGGATGATTTCGAAGGAGGAGGCTGTAGAAGTTGAAGCTAACGGCAGTCAGCGGCGAACGGATCCGTCAGGCCTTGAGATTGGGTCTACGGATATGTCGCTAGAAACGGGTTAGAAGAGGGAGTGGAGGAAATTTATGAAAGAGGAAGAAGGGAGATATTAGTAGGATCCTAGCTCTGATTGCTCTTGCTGCTGTATGCAGCCACTATGGTGATTCAATCGATGGCACCACGGGACGGTGATGTGGCCTGAGTTTATTTGCAGGTGTATAATTCATGGTTGTACGTGGGGTGGGATTCTGCCAAGGCGCCCGAACCTAGACGAAAGGATAACGAGGGCTCTCAACCGATGTCGCAGTGAAGTGGTGGCTGGCGTAAGACCATCAGAGCAGCCTACATTTCTAATGACCAAGCCCCTTACGATAACCTGATTTTTGACGTCTCATTGGAGCGCCTGATTGACATGCGTCTGTTGGCCTCAGAGCCGTTTTTTAAATTACACGGCATCTTTCTATACAAAATAACAAGGTGACTTCGGTGGAGTAGTCGAATAGCGAGTACAGACATGTACCTTTGGGAATCTCGTAGAGACCCGTGATTCTCCTCATGCGCATACCGAAAGTGAGTTGCCTGTGTGTAATTATTCGGGCGTAAAACGCGGGCGATAATATAGCCGGGAAATTTCCCATTTTTAGCCACAGGTTACCAAGCTCTCTTTGCGCTCCAAGCTCGCAGCGCCTAGATAGGTTTTCTACCCAAAGCCAGTTGGTAGACTCTTACAATTTTCTTTTCAGGGAACATTATCATTGCTAATTTTCGGTTGTCGTGAATAAGGAGTTCTTCCTCTAGACGTACTTCACTACTCACAAGGTGGCTGAAAACTCTTCGAAAACCCACGACCGATTTCTCCCTCCACGGAGCTCATCTGATAGACGCAGTCTCCGAGTTTCCGTCAACCTTATGTTCTACTTGAACCCAAGTGGCGCGGAATTAAAAGCATCATAAACGAGGGATTCAGATAATGAGTCTCGCAAAACCAAATTTATTTGCAAATGACCGTATTTTGCTAGTTTATCATTGAGTTCGGTACAATTACTAGGAAGGATTGAATCTCACACACTTATAAACGAATTTTTTTTAATGAGAGACCCAACTGGGGCATATAATAAATAGGAAGTTCAGCTGGGAGTCGGCGTAATCTCTCGTTGAAAGCAAATTAGTTAACAACTTATTTCATTTCAAGACCTGCGTACAGTGCTGATTCAGGTAGAATATACAGTGGAATTAGCCTATCTACTGAGGCTCGAGAAGGGCAAACCCGGAGTTTCTCAGAAACCTTACGGGTAGCTTTATTCGTGCTGTTCTTCGGTGGAAGTTCTTATTCGGAGTATTCACTTCATTGCACCGTTTTCCTTAAGAAAGAATTTTCTCGTCACGCTTGTTCTCTTTCTCAGTGGGCTACCATACATCATAAACCATTTAAACACGAAAGGTCATCCATCTCCTAGATGATCTGTCGCAGATCTACAGAGTGTATTGTATTACATGCCAACCTCATTAAGGATCAATAGCTTTTACAATCACTATTTTGCTTACATTTTGTGTATCAAGCTGACCATGTGAGTTAGAAAATTACGCTCGAATAATTGTGATGAGTTTCCTTCGGAATGTGCTAGTTGGGGAAAATGTTAGCTACTTCTCTATTGAGATTGAATTTTGGTGCATGATCTAGCGGATTTGTGTCAGTGGATTATGTACCAGGTTCTTTTTTCCTCTGCTTGGGAAGCACGCAGAGCTGCAATCACATATCGTACTACTGGAAAACGCATAAGTAGCATGAGTTCATCTATCGAAGTTGATGCTGATCAAGATCGTGTGCACAGGAGTCAGGGCATGGCGCAAAGGAAGGTGCCAACTGGAATCACGTAGAACAATCCGTTATTTGTTGCCATTTGTGTTTGATTCAGGTTCTGATAATGGCTAGCTTCTAAACAGCAGACACGTGATCAGATGTCGCCAACGCGTGTAACGTGACCAAATTCACAGCCTTATATATGCTGAAAATATTTGTGTATGCGTGTTGTATCTGATTCTTGTAAAACAATGTCAAGAAAAGGGACGTCAAAAAAGTCTAGTAAAACCGACCCACCAAGAGGTTCACATATGGTCGACGGTTACCTCGTGCACACTGATACCAGACAAAGACTGTTCTACTATGTGTGTGTGTATACGGTGTTCAGGAAAACTTTGGAGGCTGGAGAACAGCTTGGACCCGAGGAAGCCATAGCTGTGATGAAGAAGCATATACGTAAAAGAGTTGCTCGCTGCGTTTGTTTTATGCTGGAGGATCGTCTGATATTTGAGAAGCATAAACCGAAAGGGAAAGAACCCTTTCGTTCGTGGATAGCCTACGAGGAGATACAAGACATCAACCGAAGTCCCAGAAAGAGAGAAGTATTTGTTCTGTCTATTATCACAAATCGTGAAGACCATCGATATTATGAAGTTTACAGGTGCAACAAAAAGGACGAAGCCGCGCAAGTTGAACATTATATTCAGACAGCACTGCAGGATCCAGGATATCGCATTCACTGTGGAACTCCGATTGATATTGTCACAGTGCCAGAATATCAGGAAAAACGGAGAACTATTGAAGGCGTTTGTCTAGAGAATGTTTCGGAAGGAGAAACTTCTAATGAAGAAGAATTGAAAGGTGGACAGTACCACGCAAGCGTTAATGGCTTAAGAAACAGTAACATCACCAACCATATGTACATGAACTCTAATATGTGGCCAGGTGACGAAGCTTGTGTGACTTCAGGGGATTCATTGCCAGTCAGTACGCAAAACGAATCCCACTCTAGTGGCGCCACAACCCCTCCAACCGTTTTTATTTCCCGCGAATCAGCAATTCAATGGGAAAATACTCCTGTTCGCCGCCATTTCCTCCTCGAGAGCGGACCTATCTCTGCCACTTCTCCCGAATTCAGTAATCTTCGTAGTGTGTGCGAATTGGAGGATGTCACTTTTGTTGACGTCAAATCATCGAGTAACGATCATGGTCCAGTTTATCTGTACTTAAAGAGGAAACCAAGATGGTATGAATAATAACAATAATAAAATTTCTCTTTTACATCTACATGCTTATAGAGCAGCACTTCTTGAGATGAGGAAACAGAGGAGGCCAAGTTACGTAGTGGGTGGAAAAATAATCAGGTCCAAGAGAAAAGGAATGTGGTTCGTCTGCTTGTGTTGTGAATGCAGAATTGCGGGAGAGCTTTTCTATTAGAATGCTTGAGGAACAAGATTGGTGTTTATTTCGTTTTCACCTAAACTGAGTTGCACTTTCAACTCATTTATCCATGTTTCGTTTTCTATAATCGAGGATTTATTGGAGTGTCGGATGTATTAACTCTCTGGACAGAGGATAAACCCTCATTGAATTGTTCATTTGTTTCTGTTCAAATGCAAACGGTAACTACAGGCAGCTCTTTATTTTGGTAAATGGAAAACCATGGATCATACTTGAATGTGTTTGGATATTTTGTTTCATATGATGGATTCCAACCACCATCAAGAGAAACTGAGTTGGGCACACGAGTTGTGACTGACTAGTGCGCTGTTGTAAGACCAAGACGAAATAATTCACTGAGGTTCCGAATGACTAAACCACAGACTAGGGAGGAAATCATCCAAGTGGCTGTCTGTTGACTAATTTGAGGATCGCACAGAAGTCACTGATTTTCAGGGTTGATCCGGTTCACCGTAATTTGGACACTCATAAGTTATTTATGTCTCACAGTCCCAAACTAATTGTTTTGGAGAAAAGTTGGCCACTAATCAACATATCTAGTTTAATTCGAATATGGTATGATTTTACTTACTCAGCAGTGGTTGATTCGTTTTGTGAAAGTAGTCTAATGCATTCGACTCCCCATCGTTTTAATACCGATAACAATAACAATTTGACAGTCATCATCACTATCGTTATCATCAGTATCTTCGGTACCATCGTCATCATCGTCATTCCACTAACCATCTTCATCCAATACCTGTGGTTCATATGTCTAACAGCGAAGCCACGATAATTGGCTAGACTAATCAGAATGATCTGATAGTTAAGAGAAATTTGCTGCGTCTGCCCCAACCCCTCTGAGCTCTGGGAGGGATGGAGAATGCTACGCCTGCATCTTCCAGTACAAACTGAGGGGTTTGTTGGACATGCGAACCTCCAGGCCTCCTCAGCAAAGTGGACCGATCGACAAGCAAACTTCCTACTTTTTCTGCAACGCAAAAAGGAATCCTCGGTAAGACTTGTACTTGCGTTTACTGTGTGACAGAAAGCACGAAGTACTTTTAAATCCATAGACATTTTGTTGCGTCCAATAAGACTGGAATGTGTGGCATAGAGTAGCATGAATAGCGCTTTTCATTGATTTTGCAACATTAATGCTATTCTGACGCCAGCCATTTTATGCAAGGTATGATCTTCAGGGGTTATGGAAACTACCGGCCCCATGTTCCTTGTTCCGCAGTTCAAGCAAGAATTAATTTGATTCGTACCTAAACCGGCACCTCAACCTAACAGACTGTCAATAGCGTGCAGCCACAGTCTATTGTAAGCTTCACCCGCTGCCTCTAATTGTTGTGATCATTGTCTAAAAAACTCCAGACAGCCAAATGTAGTCTCGTTGATTGCGATGAGGCCACTCTTTACTACTATAAATTTTTATCTTACCTGGCATCGCAATTCTATGCTGTTACTCAGCTCCATAACACTGGTCAGAGAGGGATTCACGATGACGATTTGTCCACTGACGTTTACAGTTCCATATAATATTTTCCAGGTTTTTACAACCGTTTCTTTCAAGGCTGAGATGACCCACAGTACGGTTTGGCTAGGACACACCATGCGTCTTCAGTAGCACGCATTGGATTGTGTCTCGTCACAGTTGATATGAAATGATACACTTTTAGTAGGTAGTTAACTGATTGGACGTCAAAGGACTGAACTCTTGACCACATAATTTACTGGATTACCCGACGTAAAAGTGAACGATATAGACCGAAACCATGAGAATTCTTCAAGAGAACAAAATATGCCTTTTTGTCTTAGAGCAGGCATGGCAACAACTGTCATCTCTCTTCTAATGTTACTAAAAAGGGTTACTTGCTCTCGGTCACTCAAGAAGGGAAAAACGTGAATGAGAAAAGGTTTAACCATTATAATGGAATTACTTATCTCTAAAGACAATTATTTTAAGAAAACCCCGTTGTGCACGGTTATTTCAATGTTGAGCTTCTATTGGTTTCATATTATCATCGCCATCACTATACGCCTGAATCTGATTGATTCTTTTGAGGAAGCATCAACGAGAGAGTACTGCATTCTTGCTGTTTTTGTCGAAGGTGCTGTTTATTCATTTACATAGAAGAATGCTTCCGCCTTCAAAGGACGCTGTAAGAATACCTAGGGTAGTTTGAAGTTGCGATACTTCTACGTCAGTGTCTGAATTCACATATGTTTCTAATCATGAAGGATTTACCCCTCCTGAGCCCAATTGACAAATTATGAGACTTGTGGTTTGTCGTGTAATATACGTACCATTTTGACATGATATTTGCCTGATGACTGATAATCCATTGTGAATCCATGTGACAGAGCAGCTATAATGAGAATGGAATCTACATACAAAATCAATACTTCTAAGCTGCATAAAATTCCACAGTTGGATAGGTGGAAACAAATTGTTGTAATGTAGCCTCAGTCAAAATAGCTGAAACCTAATGAGATTCGCTGAAGTTTAAGGTAGTTTCAGATTTTTTTTTGTGTGCAGGAAAACAATACTTTCATNTTTTTGTGTGCAGGAAAACACATACTTTCATTCAGTGTTGCGTTAGTCAGCAGTTGTCATACGTGCCCACGACGCTGGCTTGCCATGCATGAGTTAACAACGCACAAAATCGGCGGCAATCTAGCAGCTACGCGTGGATCTAATGGGGCGCATGAAGGTTCCACAAGACTATTCCCCGTTCACCATAGTATAGTTTGTGGTCCCCCTGAGCTGAGCTATATTCCATGGGAAACCATTATCCCCGTAGGCGTTTTATTTTGGACCCTATGTTCCATTCGAAGCACCAGAAAGATGTTCTTTATCAGCGAGAATGAAAATGTACTGAACCCTTTTGTGTACACCCTCATAGGTTTTTTTCGATCGTCGTTATCCACTAAACGGTTTGCTTTTTAATATAGTCAGTACAGGCTTCGGACACATGACACGTGACGGTCGCATTCTTTCAATCATTATCAGTTTTGTTTGCCTGATTTTTTATGGATGAAATTCAACTTTATTCCATCTTCGCCCACTGGTTGTCTCGAAGCTGGTATTTCCGCATTTCGAGAAACTGGTCTCGGTTTGGTTGGGTTTAAGGATAGCACAAGCATTCTATTAATCTCTGCTCAGTGAAAACAACTTTGGCGGTTGTGTATTCAACTTACTTTGGAATATCCCATCCTGGCACACGTGTTCAGTTCAATTAATAACTGTCTAACTGACTAGCTCGTGCCTAACTAGTAACCAACCTTGAGGAAACTTCCGCCTGACAGGAAGCTGATCTTCCAGTGGGCTAGCACCCCAGGTTATTTTGTGGTCGGTTGATCTAACGTAAAACTAAATGTGCCGTCGTTTCCGAGATATTGCGAGCACGCACACTCTTAGCGTTAGGCGCTGTCAACGGTCAACTAAAATTATGAATGTGTTTGAGCCCATCCTTGGACTAACTCCCAATTATGCCGTATGTTTGTATAATTGTGATTCACAAAAGTTTGTAAAAAGAAGCTCTGTTCTGATTACCTTCCCTACATCAGTCCTTCCTCCGTTCAAATTTGCGGCACGCGACGTATAAATAGCATTTCTACTGACAGCTTTCGTCGTTTATAGAGAAGACATAATGCTTAGGCGAGCACACATCATCCAGCACGCACGAAGAAAACGAATGCGGGAGGTTACACGTACCTACTTTGTGCCAGCTGGTTAATATCCTCCGTGAGCAAATCACAGGACTCAAAGAAGAGAGACAAAGTTTTGCTTATCGCACGAGTTAGTGGTCACCTTTCCCACAGTCAATATCTTCTACCCAGATATTCATCAATATTTATCCCGTTGAGGCTTCCACGAGATAATCCTCTTTGGGGATTTCCCCTTGTGTGAGACTTACTTACTTTGCTTGCGGCCACTGCATCAGCTTTATGGATGCCACATATTGTTGCTATCAAGATCCGTGNGAGACTTACTTACTTTGCTTGCGGCCACTGCATCAGCTTTATGGATGCCACATATTGTTGCTATCTAAGATCCGTGGTCGCATGCTAGGTCTGGAAAGAGTGAAACCCAGTTCCGACTCCAGCAGCAAATACTTTATGACACGGTGAAACAAAATCCCCTTAAATCTATTTCCGGGATGCCGATCCAGGTTGTTAGCTGTCATCCACGACAGCGACACCATCGTGCTCATGACGAGTGAGCCAGTGATAGTTTTCAAAGCTTGCTTACGAGTTTTTGAGCAATATAAATGAACTATTGAAATCTTCGCATCTGCAGGGTTTGTCTGAGATCTGGAATACTGTAGCAGAGTTCCTTAACCAGTTAGTTGGAATCTTAGTGCGCCAGCCGATTGCACATCTACTTCACAATATCTTCGTAAGTTGCGTGAAAAAGTAACTTACAGTTCTGATACGAGGGTCAATATTTTGTTGCTTAGTTTGGCCTCTTGTTAGAATATTAGAACGTAAGTATGGAGACACAGTGATACAGTGACATGTGCAACAGATGCTATGAGATGTGTTGCCGTTTGAGGAACGGCTTGCATGGAGAAAAAATGTGAATGGCAAGCCCAATCGGTCCTGAAGGCTAGCTAAATCGGTGGAAAGCACATAGTAGATTCTTTGCCAAATAAGATGAGATCTAATAGACTCCGCAGTATCTTTCCCGTTTTTTTCACTCAGTGATCTTTCGGTCGTGAACTCGGAGTTCTTAATGCCAAGGCATACTCTTCCGTGAGAACAACGGATTTAGCTGGTGGACCATTAGCAAGTAAGATGGCCCATA